ATATCCGATATTGATATCGGATCGGGACACCCCTAACACAAACAGATTTTCTGACATTATTTAAAACATTAGATAGATTATATAAACTGTAAAATATTAATAATAATTGGATTAATATTATTATTAATAGTTTTAATGATTTCTACATCGTCAGTCCTTTTTTTCTGCTCTGTTGTCAACATGTACAGTAATGAGAAATCCAGAGTCTTGCCCGTTTAGCGTTAGCCATTAGCTTCACCAGCCGATCACACGGTCACATGGTTTCTGCACACTCCAGCTGTGCTATATAAACTCCTTGATCTCAACACAACAATGGTCTCAGGTTGGGCAGTAATGAAAATAATTAAACTATATTTGTAACCATGCAAAGGGTTTTCAGTCCAGTGTGGTTAGAATCTATAAAATGACTTTTTCTAATAAATCATCTTTTTTTACAGATTAAATATGTTTCTGTGACAAAGAGGAACCATTTTCACATTTAGTCACATGACAGCAGTAAACTGGACACATCTTCAAGTCAATCATTTTCTTGCTCTTCTCTGGATGAATAAAACAATACTTTAAAAACTAAGAGTAGAATATTTAGTAAAGATTTGGTGCAGAAGTAGCAGACGATCATTACAACAACATCTTATATTATTACATGAGAATAAAGTTTTAAAATTAGACTGAAACCACTCAATTGTTTAGCATTAATGATTCATGTCTAAAACTCTGTCAACACAGATGAAGGTAGCATGTATTTACAAGATATTCACCTTTGGATTGAGGTATTTGGACAAATAATTAAATACTTATATATTTACAGATAACATTTATATCAGTAAGAGACTAAATGTTCCTGTGGTAAATTAAATTAAATTAAATTACAGACCCTGCATTCATTAAAATCACATCAGCTACAATCTTATTAAAAAAAAACCAAAGTTGCAGATGTTTTGGTCAAATGTAAATAACTAAGATCTGTGAGCACTTAAAGAAGATCAGAGGAATGACTCTCAGTTACTACCACACTAAAGTTAGTCCAATATCTGTCAAATTTAATTAAGCTTAATGAATTAATTGTGATATTTTACTGAGTTCACTCCAAAAGTTATTGACAAAGTAGTAAAATCAGCTCTCAGTCTCTCTGTTAGGATGACTCTCAGTTCCTGCTGCACCAAACTAATGTTTTATACTTTGTTGATGCATCTGGTTCAGACAAAACACGAGAAACAAGACGTACCTGTAGGCATTTCACCGCTCTTCTTTTGTCCACAACACAACCCAAATGGTTCCGAAAGGTTGAGCTCAGCAAACTGATGAAATAAAGTCCTGAAGAAACTTCGTACAACTTACTGCACACAAAACTAGCGCTGTTAGCACCACTGGAAATCACGAACCTGAACAGCAGCTAACGTTAGCATTCTGCTCTGGGTCCAATTAGAGGCTGCACTTCTTCTTCTTCTTCTTCTTCTTCTTCTGGTTTTTTATGGCGGTTGGCAAACAACTTTAAGGTGCATTACCGCCACCTTCCGTGTTGGAGTATGGATCAGAAGCTTATATCCTTCTCATAAGACCCGTCCTTCTAAGAAAACTAAAAATACTATCAAAAACTATATCCCCTGAGGATCTCTGGAATAACTCTCTAATATTCAAATTATTTTTATTTTCATTTAATTCTCTCAGTAGAATCTCTCTTTCCCGTACATATTTGTTACATTCTACAAAAATATGTTGTATCGTTTCTAATTCACCACAATGACAACAACCTGTGCTATGTTTATTAATTAACTTAAGGGTATTATTTAATCCTGTGTGTCCAAACCTAATTCTAGAGATAATATCTTCTTCATTTTTATTTCTGTTACCTTTCCTACATTCCCCAACTTTTTTTTTGGATATTATAATAAAATCTCCCTTTTTCTCCTCTGTCCCACTGTTCTTG